TAGACACATGCCCTGGAGAGAACAATCATGGGAGAAGGAAGGGCTGCTTATGCACAGGGAGACAGCTCAGGGGGCAGGAGAGTATGGAGGGATGGACTCTGGGAAGAGGTAACTATGGGGAGGAAGTTGGAGGGGAGCTGTTGCATTGTGGTAAACTGTGGTCAATGACATGAGACTAAGTATATGTGAACTGCTGTATGGAAAGTGAATTTGCTCTGTAAATCTTCACCCAAATCAAAATAAAATAAAATAAAATATTGCTCCCTCTCTCCCTCCCTCCCTCCCTCTCTCTCCTGGTCTTCATGCCTCAGCCACTACTGCTTTCCTGATCTGGCTCTATTTTATTTATTTCTTTTCCATAGCACTTACTGCCTTTTCATTACTATATAATGTACTATGTTTATTGTTCATCCTGCCTGCTAGATTGTGAGCTGTCTGAGGATAGAGGTTTCTGTTTTGTTGACAGATGTATCTTTGCACCTAGAATAGTGTAGCACATGGTGTGCTCACTGTTTATTGAGTTAATGAATATGTAGCAGTTATTTGTGGAGGTCCTCTTCCATGCCAGCCCCTTGGCAGGGCACTGAGCATCCAAAGACAAATGAGGATGATCCCTGCCTTCTTCCCAGGTTTTGTTTGCTTTGAACGAGGATGCCATTTGCCTGCTCAGCTTATGCCCTGCTCCGGCAGCCTGAGGTCTTGGACCCTTTCTGACTGGTTTGCATGTAGTGAAACCCATCTGATTCCAGGGCTCTCTCTTTAATCTTGCTTGGTCTTAAGCTGCTTCAAGATGTCACCACTCTGCTGCTTCTGCCTTTCATTGAGGTGGCACTGGCTTTACTGGCATCTACTATGCTGGGGGGGGGGGGCTCTCGCCTTGCTTCACAGCATCCCTGAGCCCAGAAGTAGGCTATTAGCTGACCCTTTCCCACCCGGATTTGAATTCTCTGATACTTACTAACTGTTAGGACCTTGAGCAAGTTAGTTAGCTTCTCTAAGCTTCAGTTTTCTCAACTATAAAATTGGGTTAACAATAGTATTTAGTTCATAGGGATGTTTTGAAAATTTAATGAAACAAGGCATGCAGAGCATTTAGCACAGTGCCTAACGTGAATTATCCCACAATAAGTGTTAAACCAAAACCAATCCTGTTGCCGTAGAGTCAATTCAGACTCATTGCGACCCTATGGGACACAGTTGAACTGCTCCATAAGGTATCCAAGGCTGTAAATCTCTATGGAAGCAGACTGCCACATCTTTCTCCCAGGGAGTGGCTCATAGGTTCAAATTGCTGACCTCTCAGGTCGCAGCTGAGCACTTAAACACTGTGCCACCTCAAATAAGTATTACCCTCATTATTACAATCATGATTGAATTGTTAAGGATTAAACAAGGTTACATGTAAAGCATGTTTATAAAGGCCCTGAAGAAATAGTAGCTATGGTTACTACTGCTACCATCACAACCACCATAATCAGGTCCTTTAGTATCCCAATGCTCCTTCTCTCTGGAATGACCCATTAATCTCATCTTATAATGATTTGCCCTCCTATTTTTTTTTTCCCATTCAGACCTGAAGGAGGACTATGATCAATGGAACAACTTCATTGAAGGCATTGGACCGTCACTCACCCCTGGGGCCCCACACCATCTGTCTAGCCTGTAGGCACAAGTAGCCATCTTCAGAAGGTCACTTGAGTTGCATTTCCCTCTGAGGGCTCCCCAGGAGCACCCATAATCTTCCATCAGAAAGTGGTTAACATGACTTCACAGAGACAGAAAGAGAAAGAGACAGACAGGATGTAATCACACTGCTGATTGGGTAACTGGTAACTGATCTTGGACTTGTTAATCTTCAGCTCATACTGGGACTTGAATCACTTGCTAATTGGCAGACTGACTTTCTGGGGCTTGAGCCCTGATGGGGCTTGAGCAGTGAGGTGAGGCTCAAGGTGAGCACTCTGAGGACCGGATGTACAGACTTAGCCAGGGAGCCTGCTCCCTTGCCTTGGGCCAGTGCGACTCCTGCAGTGGCAGAGAAGAAGCCAAAGCACGGAGTTAAAATCCTCTCCTTCGGGACTTCTTGCCCAACCTGGCACTATCTCTTTCTGCCTCTCAGCCCTCTCCTTGCCCAGGGCCACTTGTGAGTTCCAGGCACTTTAGGGAAATTTCTAGAATATGAACCATCTTCAGATTTTCTGTTCATCTTCGAAACATCCCCCTGCATGAAACTGGGCGCTTAGTACTCAGTGGTACTTGTGAGTCCGGGAGGGGCACATGGCATTGTCCTCATAGCGCAGGGAGAGAAGCTGAGGTCCAAAAGCGTCCCTCAAGCTCTGGATGTCTTTGGGGTTTTGGTAAAAATACATCTTGACAAGAAATTAACACAAGTAGGTTGAAATGGGGAAGGTCGAGTAACAGTGTTAAGCAGCCCTTTGCACAGGCCCTGCCACAAGAGCAGGGTGGTCTGGTGAGCTGGAACTGAAGCGGCCACCCCGGAGGGTCTAGGAACACCCTGCTTTTGCCTCTTGTCTCAGACGTCGTGAGCTTCCAACCTGCTCAGAATCAGGGTCCTTTAGTTGTCTGTTTTCTAGTTCTGAGGCCCAGCCCCAAATTTCAGTCAAGATAAAGTGTGTTTCTATTCTGTTCCATTTTTGGTATTTTATAATATGAATGATATTAATTCTCATGTTTGTCTAATGATATGTTGGACTATTAATTTGATCTGCATTAGAGCAGGATGGGGAGCCATCTGGAAATGGCTTTGCCTTCTGTCTTCCTTTGTTTACTTACCACTTGGGCCCATGTGGAAAAAACTTTAGAAGGAAAGGAAGTCTTCCTAGGGAGCCAGTTCAAAGCTGTTTGGAAACATCACCCTGAAACGCCCCTCTCCACTGCTCTCAACTTTGTACCTCAGTCCAAGTGGGGGACCTCAGAGGAAGCAAGAGCAAAGGGCAAATATGTCTCTATACAATACACCCAGGGGGAGTGCTGCCAAAGCAGGCTGGGATGAGGGCTCCCACCTCTCAACCCCTATTCTTTCCAGGAAACAAAACAGCAGATCCACTGAGGCTGTGACCCTGGGAAGGATGGACGAATGCCAGTGTGCTGCAGCAGAAAGAGAGGATCATTAAAGCCCTGGCCTCTAACATTCCATAGCCTTGTTCTGAGTTCTGGCTCCACCGCTGCCATCTGGGCAAATGTGAGGAAATTACATTCTCTTTCTACTCTTTCCAAACTCTAAAATGGGCGTCTGCATTATGAGTAGTCAGGATTAAGTGAGAGGTTGTATAACCCATGGATGAATTAAAACTCTTTCTTACTTTCCAAACATAGGATTTGTCTATTTATTTATAGTTACTGTTTTCTAACTATAATTGCTTTGTGGTCAGACAAGATGACCCATAGAGTTTTCGTCCACCAAGATTTGTAGAAATATGCTTATTGGCTCAGTGTGAGGTAAGTTTTGTAAATGACCGATACAGGCTTTAAAGGACTGTATATTTTGAAATTGTTGGCTTGCTCTTTTACTCAACAACACACTGTGGATTTCCTTCTATGAGAGCACATGCAGATATATAACAGGGCCATCCAACTCCCAAATGGGAACCAGAGCCCCTCAGCACTCGCAGAACCAGGCCAACCCTGAGTAGTGCCACCCCTTATGCGTGGAGATGGCTCTGCAAGTGTTGATGGGCTAGTTCTAGCAGCTTCTATGATAGACTCATAAATCATGTAGGTACGTGCATGAAGCCCTGACCAGGAGACCGGGAACCTCCCTGAAGAAACACATTCCAAAGCTGGATTCATCTCCATTCAGCTCATGTTCTGGTAATAACTTACTTATCCACAACATTGGAATAGGTAGATTTTCCATAACTGAAAATTATCCTTTAAGCCCCAGAATATAATATTAACTATATTGAATGGTAATCAACCAAAATAATAACAATAATAATAACACACATACTTTCTGAAGTGAACAATTTCCTAATCAAAGTGAATTTTTTAGGATGTTTCTGTCAAGATACACTAGATTATATGGTAGTAGCAAGCAACCCCCCAAGACAACAAAACATACTTCTTTTTTTAATTTTTATTATGATTTGGGTGAAAGTTTATAGAGCAAATTCATTTTCCATACAGTAGTTTATACACATTTTGTTTCATGACATTGACTGTAGTTCCCTACAATGTAACAGCTCTCTTTCTACTTCTTCCCTGTAGTTACCTCTTCCCTGTGTCCTTCCCTCCCATGCACTCCCACCCCACAAACTATCTCCCTGTGCAAACACTGCCCTTCTGTCCTCTCACAGTTCATCGCTCTATGGAGTATATCTACCTGATGTAAATGTTCACCCCATATGCCTAGGAGTGAGTTCAGTGCCAGACCTGAAAGGTAACTAGGGGCCATGGTCTCGGGGGTCTCACCAGGCTCTATCAGACCAGTACACCTGGTCTTTTTTGTATGATTTTAAGTTTTGTTCCACATTGTTCTCCCACTCTGTCCAAGATCTCCTGCACTAATCCCTTTCTGAGTGGTTGACAGTGGTGGCTGGGCACCATCTTGTTCTTCTGGTCTCATGGTCATATAGGCTGAGGATCACATGGTCTACTGGTCCCTTGGACTAATTGTTTGCATTGTGTCTTTGGTTTTCTTCATTCTTTGCTCTGGATGAGAAGAGACCCATCATTGTATCTAGATGGATCTAGATGGCCGTTTGTAAACTTTTAAGACCCCAGTCACTAATCACCAAAGTAGGATGTAAAAACATTGTTTTTGTGTAGTATGTTATGCCAATTGAGCTTGATGGCCTCTGTGACCATGGTCCTAAGCCCACAGGTCCAACTGCTTATTCCCTCAGGGTAGCTGGCTGTGGCTAAGAAGCCACCACAAACTTGCCACTTATTGTCTCTTCTACACACCCAAACATTCTTACAGCACATAACGTGTGTAGAAACATTGTTTGCTAACCCTATACGTGGTCATTGGCACATTCCTCCCTTCCTAGACATACCTGATCATTCAGCCTGTCCACCTATCAATCCACCCATAGATCAGTGCTTGCCATCACTGACAATGCAGTACTACTGTACATGCAGAAGGGTTCATCTTTGTTGTCTGTACCTCCTGTGTACCTCTCTATGTCTTCCTCTTCCTCAGTGCCACCATCAAAACACATTTCTTGCCCATGCTGTTTGTGCACTGTGGCCTGGCTGAAGGCTCTGCATCATTATCCTCCTCACTCATCCTTCCCACTTCCTGGATTTGCTGGGCTCAGCTGGCCGGGTTCTTACTGTTCCCCCAGCAGGGACCCAGCCCCTTTCCAGTATGTGTCCTGATATAGCTGCTGCCTCTCTTGGCCTTCTCCAGGAAGACTTCTGGGTTCTTAAAAGTGTAAAGTGATAGGTTCCAATTCCTTGTGTTGGCTTTGTGGGGACCCTTATCTGGTCCCCTATGGTTACAAAGGGACCAGGGAAGTCTCATCAATACTCAGGATCCATCCCCATTAGGAAACTTGCTTTCTGCCCCTCACAGCCCGATGTGGAGGCTGAATGTCCCTGGCCGTAGCTGCATGCCAAAGTGACGATAACAATAATAATAATAATACCCAGCAGGTATTGGGCCTTTACTGTTGCCAGGGACTGTGTTAAGTGCTTTACTTGCAGTATCTCATTTACGTCTCGTAGTGACCCATAAAGTCAGGTAGTAGTAGCCTCACTTGATGTATGAGCAAACGAACATAGACATTTTGTTGACCAAACGACAAAAATGTGGTAAGCCTGGAACATAGGCATCAAAATCTGAGCTTGAATCACTGGGCTGGTATTGCCCAGCACACCTGCCCCTGCCCCTGTGTCTTTAAACTTCTAGGATATAGGGAATATAATTTCACAATAGATTGAATCAGGATGTCAATTGAATCAGGATTTCAATGACCAGTATTGAAATTCAGTGCTATCCCCAGCACTATTCAGAAATGGGTTGGGGGAGAGAACAACCGAGCTTCAGCGGGAACTGTGGGCTAGGTGATCTGTTGATTTGATAGGTGAGGAAAGCAGTTCAGGGATTCAGAACATGGCCTTTAGAATCAGACAACTCCAATACTTCAAGCCTTGTGACTTTATGTTAATTTATTAACATCTTTGAGCTCCAGTTTTCTTACCTATAAAATAGAATTCTAGTAATGGCTTACCTTGGAGTGGTTGTGATAATTAAATGAAATAACACAGATAAAGCACTTGGCCCAGTGTCGGGACAGAACAGCTTCACTAGTATCTCGTTTAGTCCTCCTGCTGCATATCTAGAACGCCCACTTCCGTCAAGTTGATTCAGACTAATAGTGACCCTTTAGGACAAAGTAGCACTGCCCCATAGAATTTCCAAGGGTGTAAATCTTTATGGAAGCAGATTGCTTCATCTTTCTCCCATGGAGTGGCTGGTGGGTTTAAACTACTGACCTTCTGGTTAGCAGCCAAATGTTTTAACCAGTATGCCACCCGAGGTCCTTACATACCTGTAAGTTTAGGTATAACTTGCCCTTGCACTTAATGGCTCGGGATGGTCTTGGTCTAAGTTCTGAATCTAGCATCTAATAAAGGTTCCTGGTTACTGTCTCAGATGAAGTCAGCTAGCTGCCACGCAGCTACTGCCATTGTGTTCTC